CCTACAATACCCTTCGTAGGTTAAAGCGGCAGTGGCCCCGAGATATTTGTAAATTCGGATATATTGGAGTTCTAGCAATGGCCAGATTCTCGACTCAAGTCCTAGTCAGGCTGTAGCGCTCATAATCATCCTCCGCTGGTTTTAAATACCAGTGAAGTGGTTGAGGGAGAAGCACAGGGATCTCCTAAGCCTCGCTTTTCCCTCTAAGAGTGGGAGGACAAGATTGGTTCCGAGTTTCCCTGGCTGTTTGTAAATATATAGGTATGCTTGTATTTTTTATTTTTTTTATTTCTTAAAGACATTTACAACTGTATTAAATAAATACATCCAGTAAATTTGAACATAATGTTTATAATGACATGAAGACACTTGCTGAGTAACTACCCAATGGTAGCACTCTGATGATATGTTTACATTAGGAGATCACGGGGCCATCTTGTTTTCAGACGCCGCGGAGGGTTATCAGGAATAGAAGAGGAAGCAAGGTTAGAAACGAGATGGTTGGGATGATTCTGAAGTTTATTATGGAAGGATAGGTATCTGGATTGGGCCAGATCTGAAACAAAAGAAACATTAAGATCATTATGGATGGTTTTATTTGTAACAAAGTAAGGAACATTGAGGATTTTACGAAGGATTTTGGATTGTAAGGATTGGATACGAGAGGAATTCGATGGTTTAGTGGAGCCCCATAGCTCTACTCCGTAAGTCCAAATAGGCCTTATTATAGTCTAGTATATGAGTCTTTTGTAATTAATTGGAAGTTTAGAGCGTTTGTCTAGTAAGTGCTGAAAGTAATCGGAAACGTCGAGCGGTTTCTTGTCGTTTCAGTCTAGTATGAGGATTCCAAGTTAGTCGCTTGTCCAGGTGGAGATGCTTGTATCTAAAATGTTAATTCTACTTTTATTTTTATTTTACTTACTTATACCTATATATATATATATATATATATATATATATATATATATATATATATATATATATATATATATATATATATATATGGTATAAGTATATATGGTATTTTTTTTTTTTCCACTCTCCTTATAATATTTTATTTTGTTCTTATTTCTATGTATATTTATTACTTTATTTATTTATATTGCTGTATATACGATGTGAATGTACTCTCTGAACTCTATTATAAGTGTCCTTAACTGAAACAGATTGTAATATTTCTCAATAAATAAAAAAAAAAAAAAAAAAGAAAAATGAACTGATATGTTTATATTATTTATGTAAAATTTTAGTTTAATTCAATTAGTACTACGTACAAATACGAGCTAATTGACAGTTTAAATGAAGGTAGAGAGAATGTTTTCTTATGATTTGATATAATTTTATCTTTTTTCAGGTTTGATTTTTAGTATATATTTAGAATTTATTACATCTTTTTCAACCTGTTTATTGAAAATATTACTATCTGTCTCAAATGACATTTATAATAGTGTTCAGGGATCACATTCACACTCTATGTACAATAAATAAAATATTATTCAGAAAAATTCTATTAAATTATACAGAATCAGACTTGACTCCAAACGATTTTCTCAGAATTTAATCCAGACTGACATCGTTTACCTTGACTTGGATTCCATAACTGGCGGATTTGCGGGACGAGTGGGTAGAGCCCCCCTGAATGATAAAAAAATTCTTTTTTGATTAATCCATGATTTTTTTTAGAGATCTAAGCTTATCACTCAAAAAATCAGAACATAATCTCTTTTTAAATCATAATAGATATGCAACTGATAAATGTAAGAAAGAAAAAAATAAAAGCATTATTATTGTCACTGTAATTCTTTTTTTTCCGTTTTTTTTTTTGCCCTTTAAGACTTATTGGTCATTTAAATGTAATCTCATAGAGATAGTTATTTTCTTTTAAAAAAAAAAAAACCTTCCTAATTACTAAGTAAATCTTATCTGGATTCCATGTAAATTGGTAGGATTCTTCTCTTCATATTCCTTAGCTGTAAAAGATTAGGAAATTAAAAGAAATATTGGGTCTTAAATTTCTTTTAATGGTCAGGAACACTGGTCTTAGAGTATATAGCTAATGCATGTTTGTCTGTCTATATATTACCTTTAATGCCTCTTCAGAGATTCTGTTTCTCACAGACGACTTGTCCACTCGTCCCTATCTCCTTCTTGTTCAATTTTTCCTCTCAATTCGCCAATTCATCGATATTAGCCAAATAGCCAAAATATCCTACTCTAGAGTTCTTGTACATAATGTACAATAAGGGCAATTTTATTAGTCGATAATAATGGCACATAAATTCTTAGCAATAAGACACATAAGAAAACCTACTTTTTAAAAACAATATATATATATATATATATTTTTAGTTTTCATGAAATTTACATTTTTTAAAATTTAATATACATATAGTAAACGTGTAAAGAGAAATACAATAGCATGAAAAGGATTATAGAGAATCTACCCATTGGTAGTACTCTAAAAAATACTCTAAAACCGGATATATCAGCTGTATTAAACAAGAATGAATCAAATATAAAAACAGTGATATCATTTCTTAAAATCCATAGGCTATAATAAATATAATTTTTATTTTATTGTTCTTTCTTTTTTTTATGTTTATTTTAATATATTTCATTTTTTTATTCGTTTTTAAATATTTTTTTCATTTATTACCATATCTATCTATTATTATTTTTTGATTATTTATTCTTTTATTTATTTCTCCTCTGAAGAGTTTACAAATATAAGCGACTCACAGGCGTTGATGATCCTAGGATTTTACGCCTTAAAGCCTAAATAAACAAACAAACTCTAAATAATAATACATTTAAATATCAGTTTTCCAACCTCCTTTCCTACAGAAACTTTAATATCCTTGATTAATAAAGCACTTTGGACTTCACTTTTCCAAAAGATTGATTTGGGAATCTCGCACAAGACTTCGTTTCGGGATATAAAAATACTTATTAGATAAACTTCTAAATATTTCTAATTTATTACAAAGTCTCAATTTCATTATCAGTCATGATTCGATGTACGAAGTCTAGTAAAACAATGCTCTCAGATATCAGAGACACAGTATCACATAGAGGGCTAAAAATCAGAACCTCAAAACTAATAAAGATTTTGAATGAGCACTCCTTGAACACTACCGAGCATTTAAAAATAACACATGTTGATAATAATAATCTGGGAAATAAGAAACACTTTGCCAATCAAAATGAAAACAATCATTCAATGGAATTGTAACAGATTTTTCCGACATTTAGAACACCTAAAAATGACAATAAGCGAAGAAAACCCTATACTAGTTTGTCTCCAAGAAACACACTAACAAGAAACTCAAACAGTGAGCTACAAAGATTACGATATATACCGAAAAGCAAAAGATCGTCATGGGAAGACTTCGTATCTTCATTACATCAAAGCATTTCAATGAAGGAGCTCTGGAATTAAGTGAAAAGCATTAAGGGGATCTCCAAAACAAAGAAATTGCCTGGTATAAAGAGTGGACAAGACATTACAACTGACCCTGACGAAATCGTTAACGAAAGTGATAAAACTCTGCAACAGAGTGTAATTTAAAGGCGTTGCCAATCACCCTACAGGGTAGAGGCAACAAAATACCAAATAAATAAACAAATAAATGTACGAAGTTAAGCTTCATACTTTGATCAATCCCTCGAATACCTCATCTCCTCCCTAGCTATTCATTCCTTATCGTCTCAAATCCTCAATTGGGCTTATTTAAGATGAAATAAAACCTAAATAGAAATCTATGTTTAACTCAATTTGGACTCAAATCCACTAGTTTCTAATCTTGCTTCCCGATCGATTCCCTATAACCCAGACTTCAAGATAGCAGCTCTTTCTATAGAATAATCATCGGTGTTTTTCCGATGAATAGTTCCTATCAAGCCAATGCTATTTAAGTTAACTCGCAGATTGAATTTACTGATTATATCTTGGTTACAGTTGAAAATTTCAATAAACACATACAAAAGCAGTTGCAACCTTACTTTATAAATCTTTTTTTTATTACTATTTATTATATTTACAACTATATGAATAAAAAAAAAAAATACATCTAGTAAATTCGTACACGGATATAATAACATGAAACACATGTTGAGAAACTACAAACTGGTAGCATTCTAATAATATGTCTACATTAGGTGATCACGGGACCATCTTCTTTTCAGACGCCTCGGAGGGTTATCAGGAATTCTATAGGAAGCAAGGTTAGAAACCCGGTTATGAAGTTTATTATGGAAGGATAGATATCTGTATAGGGCCGAATCCGAAACATAAGGAACATTAAGATCATTGTGGATGATTTTATTTGTAACAAAGTAAGGAGCATTGAGGATTTTACAAAGGATTTTGGATTGTAAGGATTGGATACGAGAGGAATTTGAAGGTTTGGTGGAAGCCCATAGCTCACCTCCGTAAAAAAATTTATAAATCTATTGGTATTATAGAAATAAAATCTAATTTTTATTATTGAACTAATGAATTATCTTGAACGTCTCAGGGACGGATTCAATCACTGGGGAATATAAATAACACATTACTTATGCCATTTCTTTCCAGGATGAACAAAAAAAGAAAACAAAAAGAATGAACTTTTGGTTGACCCAAAACTGCACAAAAACCTTCAAAATAATAATCGAAAAATTTTGTTTCGACTCTTGAAACTATTTTCAAGGAAAAGGGTCAATAAGAAAATGTCTAGAAAAAAATTGCGGAAATTACAATTTTAATGCAATTGCTGCTCGCTTATTTATATAGAGTGTATATATATAAAATGACTGCTTTATCAAATTCAAGATTTCAAAGGTCTGTAAATATTTTAATCCTATTTAATACACACCAATACTTATTAATCCCTTTAGGGCATTCTCTAAGCTTGTTGAATCTCATTAGACTTCTTTTTAAAAAAGCCTCAGTTTAGTCATATGTTTCAAAGAAAAAACGTGACAGTGTCCTACGAAATTATCGTAATTTTAAGGCATGAATGAAAAATATTTTCACAGTCCCTGAAGCAACTCGTGAAATTATTAAGTATAAAGGGAGAAGGTATCCTTGACCAGCGAACTGCACGGTGTTGGTTTGAAAATTTAACAGTGTAGATACGACGTTGAAAAGGAAGACGGGCTCTGGGCGAGTCAAATATGTCCACGAGTACTCGCGAACTTTCCAGATGTGTGGTGTTGTGGTGTGTCGAAAAATACTGATTGTCGCCGTCTACTCTCCACGGGAAAGGTGAAAAAGAGCAGTAGACTGCTCCCTTCTGATATGAGATTTTACCTGAAGATTATCACCTATGATGAAAAGTGGGTTTACTGGCGAAATCCGAATAGTCTTGAGCAATGGCTGGATCGCGTTCAAACTGATTTTCCGGTAGCTGCTAGGGGACAATTCGAAAAAAAAAAATCCATGCTTTGTGTTTTTTTGAATTTCGAAGGTGTTATTCATCACGACTTTGTTCCTGATGGATGCTCTTTGAATTCTGAACCCTACTGCGACCAACTGGAAAGATTGCACGGGAACTTGTTAGAGCGTTATCCTGCTTCAACCGAAAAGGAATTTTATTCCAACGAGATAAATGCTCGTCCTCAAACTTCACGTAGGACTAAAGAAAAGTTTAAAGAACTTCATGGATTCGAACTCCTGCCTCATATAGTCTAGACATCGCACTATCGGATTACTACTTATTTAGATCCATGGCCCATTTTCTTCAAGAGAAAAAATTTGATAATTTTGCGGAAGTTGAAATTGCGGTCTAAGAGTTCTTTGACAACCATATCAAAGAATGGTATCAGCGTTGGATCGAACAATTGGCTTGTAAATGGCTAATGACGGTATATACCAATGGACTATACTTTGAGTATTAATTGAATTTTATATCAAAGAAATAATAATACAAATACTTGGTTGAAAAACAGTCATTTTTTTATACACCCTATTACAATGTTTATATAGTGAACTTGCCCCGTATTTATAGTAAATATAATGTCCGTACGTATACATTTTATTAAGTAAATATATATGTATATATATACACTTATATATATTACAATCGGTCGCAATTATGTGTATTAGTGATGGTGTATATCAATTAAAAAATAAATAAATAAATGTAAGATCGTCTAAATATAAGAAATAATTTACAAATAAATGGGTGAACCCATGACACAACTTTCACTTAACACGTTGGTACTTTCGGTGTTAATTAATTAAAAATAAATTAATAAAATTTCAAAGTGTTCCCTTAGCTACATAAATAGGTATTAATTTACGACAGTTGCTAAAAATATAACTTGTACAAACAGCCTGAGTATAATGTATTTTTTGTTTTTTTGCTGGAAAAAAAAATGTTATAGTTTGTTTCCATGGCAATATAATTTAATTTCCAAGAAAAACTTTAGTTCACGTTCAGTAATATGAAATAAAACGTTATGTTTAATATCACTTTTTTTACGATTTTTTTATACGAAATATTAAATTTTATAAAATGATTAGCTTTCAAACGATATATTCTACATCAATATTATAAATCTTTTTTCTATAAATTTGTTTTCAAACTGAAAAAAAATATGTTTACTTTACTTCCCTTTTATCATCAAATCGCTTCAGAGTTCATATTTAGCAATATATATTCTATATAAATACTTTTATTTAAAACCATTGAATCGTATGTTGATTTAGAGAGTTTAATTAAAATCCCGTTTTGAAGAAAGGGCTAAAAAATTGTAATAAACGACATATTAAGTGGCACTTCCAGTTATTCGAATATAATGAAAAAGTTGCTGTAACATCCTTGCTATATAACTAAGCATTCCAACATTAATTTTAACATTAATAACGTAATTTCAGCTTATTGCAGTTTTTCGTTTTTGGGCCAACACAAAGACCATTTAGCGAGACTTGGTTGTTTCAATGTAGGCGACTTGCGAAAGCAATTATTTCCCTTGAAAACTCGGATTTGAATTTTTTTTTGCGATCGCTATTTTTTCTGAACTCTTTCATTTCATAATGATTTAAAAAAAAAAAAGTAAAAATAGCAACACTAAATCGCATCGTTAGACTCTAAAACAGAGAAAATAAATTAATCCACACAGTAAGACATTTATCAACAAAAGAAGAATTTATTGTGATAACTAGAGAAAATTCTTAATGCTTAGTCATAAACAAAGGACCAATAATATTTCACCGTTTATTATTCAAAATATTTACGCTGATATTTTTAAAATCACATTTGAACCTCAATATACAAATTTTTAAACAGATATAAACATATATGTGTTGATTAATTTCTTGGATTAGTGGAGTGAATCGCTAGTCCATCCTACTGGATCCAACCGATTGATGGATTCCATCTATAGAATTAGCTCTGAGCATTTGTTAAACAAAAAAATAAAACGTTTATAATATATTTTGATGATATGAAATTCATTCCTATATATTTTAATTTATTTATTCCATGTTTTAATAAAAATTAAAAATATCGTACACAAATCTATCTATCAATAAGTTTCATCTTTTTTATGCACAATGTTTGAATTAAATAAAATATAAATATTTACTATGATACGTTGTTTAAAAAATAATAATAATAAACAATTTTTTTTTTAAATGTAAGGCCTCAAAAATAACATAAATTTTCATATTTTAATAAAAATTAAACTAACGTAGAAAAATTTATGCTTACACCTAGTCTATAAGGAATATTTTTTTAAGTCATTTTTTGTTATAAGAAAATTATAAATATTTATTTTAAAACTGTGTACGAGAATTAAAAAAATAAAAAAATAAAACCATGTTGTATCCTCAAAAATAATAAACGATTTCATATATAAACCAAAAAAGTAAATTATCGTACAAAAATCTATTCTTAAACCCGTTCTATAAGTGCTATATTTTTATTTAAAATATTGGTAATATATAATTAACTAATATTTATATTAAAGCTGTGCCCGAGATTTAAAACAAAAATTGAAAAAAAAAAGAACAAAAAAGCAACAAATAAAGCGACATACTAAAGGCCTTATAATAAATATTAATTTCTGGTAAATGTATATATATATATATATATATATATATATATATATATAACATATTTATTGAAATTTACAACTGTATTAGATGAAAAATACAATAAGTGAATTTTAAATAAGTAACATACCATGCAAAACATGAAGAGAAACTAACCAATGGTAGCACTCCAATAAATATAATTATAAATTAGTTTTATTTTTTTAGTTTTGAGTAAACATATAACTAAACAATAATATTGGAAAGAAATAATATATACTATAATAAGAATAATAAAAAAATAAACTTAAAGATAAATGAAGTAAAATAATACCTTAACACAGACATACCTGTGTGCACTATACCCCGTTAAAAATTTAATTTAGAACATAAAAGTTCTGTATTTTCTGTGTAAATCGTTAGTAATGAAGCTATGAAAAATATTTCTTGTGAACTTGTGTACTAGATTTAAAAAATACTATAACAATACTTAAAAAAAATATTTAAGGCCTTAAAATAAATATTAATATTTGGGCGCAAAGTGGATTGCAAGAGTTATTCTTTTTTATTACAATTTATAATAATAAATAAATAACATATTATTATATTTAATATATATTTTTTTGGGAGATTTTCTAAAAAAAGAACAGGAAAGTTGGATGAGGAAAGGAACTTTTGGAGCCGAAACGTTAAAAAATAATAACTTTTAAGTGTTTGTAGTTTTAATTTTAAAAAGAAATTACAAACATTTAAAATTTTTTTTTTTAACGTTTAAAGTTCCTTTTCTCATCCAAGAGTCCTGTTCTTTTTTAAAAAAATCTCACAAAAAATATGAATAACAGAAATAAGGTGGTTTATCACTAAACGAGATCTTAAGGTAAACTTTAATTGCTGTGTAATGTAATTGGTTAATATAGTTAATATGATAATGCTTTTTTTACACTATTATTTATAATAATAATAAAAAAAACTAAAACAACATATATAAGACCTCAAAGTACACATTCATTTCTGTGTACGAAGTGCATCGCAAGAGATATACTGAATGAATTTATATTAAATACACTTATATTAAGCAGTTATTTAAATCCAAACAACTAACATATGTAATAATTATAAATGGTTCATATAGTTGATATGGTACATCATTTTTTTATTATTATTTATAATAATAATAATAAAAAAATAAATAAATAAAACAGCATATATAAGTCCTCAAAGTAAACATTCATTTCTGTGTACGAAGTGCATTGCAAGAGATATACTGAATGTATTTATATTAATCACATTTATGATAAGTACTTATTTAAATCCAAACAAATAGCATATATAATAATTATAATTGTGGATTGATGGTTAAGTTTAGTGAATGATTGAAGAGAAGGATAGTTAGGATGATCAGTTAAAATAAATAATTATATTTATTTTAATATTTTCCGTCGTTTCGGCCGGAAGTTTAGGCCTTCGTCAAAAAGACTATTTTTTATTTTGACTGATCACCCCAACCATCCTTCTCTTTTACAATAATTATAAATGGTTGAAATAGTAGATATGGGATGTCATTTTTTTATTATTATTTATAACAATAATAAAAATAAAAAATAAAACATCTTATATAAGGCCTCAAAGTACACATTCATTTCTGTGTACGAAGTGCATTGCAAGAGATATACTGAATGCATTTATATTAATCGCATTTATGATGAGTATTTATTTAAATCCATACAAGTAACATATATAATAATTTATAATTAGTTGATGTGGTGTGTGAGAATAATCTAATGAGAGTGGTGTGTGTGTGTGTGTTGCAGGGAGTGGGAGAGGGAGGCGGGGAGTGCGCCTGAGCGGGCGGCGTCCCTCAAGCTGCCCAACGGGCGGCCGGCGGCCCAGTCTGCCGAGGAGATCCGGCCTCTGCGGGATGAAATCCGGGTCTCTCTCGAGAACACCAACACCTGTACCGACAGCCTCGTCACTGCCCTCGACGACGAAGCACTCCTCTTGTCTGACCTTTTCCCAGATCCAGGGATGAACCTGGCACCGAGCCGTGTCCACTTCGGCCAAGCCGGAGACGAACTCTCCCTGTACGGTACTCCGAAGGAAGAACCGGCAGGCGGGATGTCGGCACCATCGACAGCCCAGGATGGCGGGAAGCAAAGCTTCATCAAGAACCAGCTCCAGGCGCTCTTCCAGCCGACGGACAACAAACTTGCCATGAAGCTCTTCGGCTCGAAGAAAGCCCTCATGAAGGAGAGGATACGACAGAAAGCTGCCGGTCACTGGGTCATACATCCTTGCTCTAGCTTCAGGTAAGTCCATCTCCTTATCTAACTGTGTTGGAGGGCTCGAGTAGACGGGATGAAATGTAGTACCAAGTATTGCTTACCCGATTTGCCCCAAAGTGCTACTGTATTGAAATAAATATATTTCGTATATTATAATATAATAAAAAATATAAATATAATAAAAAATCAGAATTTGATTCAAATTAAAAAAAAAAATATGATACCATCAAATTTAATGGGCTAAATATTTTTGGCCCAATTCTTGACAATATTTCAAAAGTTCTAGTTTAATTAATCCATATCAAGTGCTATGTACAGTTATAGTTTCTTTGTTTCATAGAGTGATAAGTAGTATCAAATGTTGGTTAGCCGATTTCCGTAAGTGCAACTGTTATCGAAATAAATAAAATGTCACTATTTTTCATTTATTACTAACTTAAATTTTACTATAAATCGAAAAAAGTTTTCAAGTTACATCAAATCTGTCTGTATTCACGCCAGTAAGCAGCGATATATTATATTTTAGTCGAAATATAGCATTTTTTTAAAAGATATTTATCCATAATCTTATAACGAATACGAATATGGTGAATAAGTTCGAGTAGACGGGATGAAATTTAGTATCAAGTATTTCTTACTCGATTTCTCTAGGTGCTCCTGTTCACGAGTAATTGAAACAAATATATCGTTTTATTTCGTTTATTATAACATAAATATAAATATAATAAAAACTAAAAAAAAAAAAAAAATATGATACCATCCAATTTAATGGGCTAAATATTTTTGGAATGATCCCATTATTGAAAAAAAATTCTAGTTGAATTAACCCATATTAAGTGCTATGTACAATTATAGTTTATTGTTTTATTTATTTTTGCCTATGTCAACTTCCACAGAGTGATAAGTAGTATCAAATGTTGGTTAGCCGATTTCCGTAAGTGCTACTCTTATCGAAATAAATAAGATGTCACCATATTTCATTTATTATTAACTCAAATTTTCATCTCCTTATCTAACTGTGTCGGAGGGCTCGAGTTGACGGTATGAAATGTAGTATCAAGTATTGCTTACCCGATTTCTTTAAGTGCTACTGTTCACAAGAAATTGAAATAATTAATAATAATAATAATAATCTTTGATTTATTCTGGGACGAATCCCTATAGAATAATTAACAAGGACAGAAATGTGGGCTTTTGAGCCTCAGATATATATAAATGTATTTAGAAAGTTAATTAATAGATATAATAGAGAATAAAGAAAAAAAAAGTTATCTTCTAGATTAAATGGATTAAGAAAAAAAAATGAAAGAACAATGAGATGAAAATGAAGTAATAATATGTATACATATAAATATATCGGTATGTTTCGTTTATTATAATATAAATATAAATATATTACAATTTTTTTTAAAAATATGATACCATCCAAATTAATGGGCTAAATATTTTTGGCCCAATTCTTGACAATATTTCAAAAGTTCTAGTTTAATTAATCCATATCAAGTGCTATGTACAGTTATAGTTTCTTTGTTTCATAGAGTGATAAGTAGTATCAAATGTTGGTTAGCCGATTTCCGTAAGTGCAACTGTTATCGAAATAAATAAAATGTCACTATTTTTCATTTATTACTAACTTAAATTTTACTATAAATCGAAAAAAGTTTTCAAGTTACATCAAATCTGTCTGTATTCACGCCAGTAAGCAGCGATATATTATATTTTAGTCGAAATATAGCATTTTTTTAAAAGATATTTATCCATAATCTTATAACGAATACGAATACGATGAATAAGTTTTAACCTTATCAATTCTTATCACTAATATTTTCTTGATTTTTTGACGATTTTTCGGAAATCATTTGATTTATTTACTTTCCTTGATTTCCGTTAGCACTACCGCACAAGATTTATCGGAATAAGTTTAATCTCACTATATTTCATTTATTATTAAGTGTATGAATTTTATGAGAAACTGTTCACCACGCATAATAACCATTTATTTTTTGACTTCGTGTTCAATACCTTAAAAGTATAATACATGGAATTACACTAGTTTTACATGGAAAACATACATGTTTTAACGAAATTAGAGTACAAAATTATAAAAAAGTATCAATACAAATTTTGAAAGAAAACATAATATAAAAAATTCCCATTCTGCCTATCTCTAGTAAGTAAGTCAAAGACGATAGCTCAAATTTCGTGTGAAAACTACTTTTAAATCAGATGTAGTTAATAATAATAAAATGTAGTGGCATTAAATTTATTTCGAACTCGTGAACATTAAGGCTTACGGTAATCGAACATTCAGGTGTAAATAAACCACTTCCGATTTTTTTTATTTTTAAAGAAAAAAAAATCAAGAAAAGTATAAGTGAATTTCAGAAAATGTTTAAGAATTTATAAGGTTAAAACTTATTCCCGTTTCAGTATTTATAATAAGGTGATGAAATAATATATTTTTTAAAATAAACTTTAAATTGAAGCAAAATGTCATATTACGACTGAAAGATAATAATTTCCGTTGACTTGAGAAAATAAAAGAAAAAGAACTTTAATTTATTGTGAAAATTATTTTCGAATCATAGTGAAATATAAATAAATAATGAATGAAATATTCATATTAATTTTCAAAATTTTCAGTTTATTGTAAACAAATTTTCAAAGCAAGTAACAAATTTTATTAAATTGGCCTGAGCCCTCCGACTGGTATTTTACATCCATTAAGTTCTATTTGTATTTCCATAACATTTGTCAACTGCATAAATATTAAATGCATTAGTCATCTCATATACCATGTAAATGTTCCATGTTCATATTGTATTCATTAGTGTATGATGTGTATTTGTCGATGAACTGAGTTAACATATAATGTTTTATTCGACAAATCTGCTGTTTTCTGCTTTGATAACATGACAGACAGTTACACCTAAAATTAAAAAAAAAATATGATACCATCAAATTTAATGGGATTAATATTTGTGGAATGGTCCGATTCTTGATAATATTCCAAAAAAATGTGGTATAATTAATTCATTTAAGTGGTCTATGTAGTTTTAATTTATATTTTGTCTATTTCAACTATATTTCATTTATTATTAAGTTGAATATTATTATTAATCAAAAAGAGTTTTCTCATTGAATAAACATTGTTTTTATTCAGTTGTATTCAGTTATAATATGAAATTTTAGTTCAGTTTAAATTTTTTTTTAAAATATATTAATCCGTAACTTAATAACTACTACGAAAACGGTGAATAAGTTTTAACCTTAAAATTTTTTTTTTCTTTTCCGTATAGCTGAGTTTTTCAAGAACAACCGAATTTTCAAAATTAATTTGATTTATTTACTATTAATTAATTTTCATATATCAGTAACTTTGCCTACGAACGATATATTAATCCGTTTCAAGTTCTCATATATAATTAAAAAGGAAGCAACGTTTGTTCTTTTTCCTACACATAGTTATCAACAAACGGCCTTTTGGATTAGAATCGCTTCATAGAAATAATATAAATGCTACATCTACGGCTTTGATTATATTATGCATGTACGAGTAACTTTTGCTATTTACTATCAATTTATTTAACAATATTTTCTCTAACAATTGTCATTTATTCATTAATTTAAAAAAAAAAATAGATTTTCATGAATTTTTATAAGTTTATGTTGTAAAGTTCTGATTGAGAATTTAAGTGATTTTTTTTTTGTGGGTTAAGCTATAATTTTTCATTTATAGAATAACTTTTCAATCGATTAGAAATTAACGAATACTTGTTAGAATCCTTAATTGCTTTGAAAAATAAAGTTTAGTAGAAAAGCATTTTAAATTTATAAAAGTCAACTATTATACAAATAATATCCAAAATAAAAAAAAATCCAGTTTGGTGACTTTTATTTTATCAATGAAATAGGATGGTGGAAACCTATCATAAATGTGTCCCCATCCATTATTTCAAATATTATCTTGCTAAATGAATTCTCGAATATCATGTCTTGTTTTTTATACAGTAATTTTTTTCGATGAGATCGTAATGGTGTGTTAGAAAAGAATCTCTCGAAAATAATTTTCAAAATTAATATGTATTCATTTCAATATTTTTTACTCCTTGAATAAAGAGCAAGGAAGAAGGAAATACTTCTAGTTTAATTTTATTCATTTTTAAAAAACTCATAAATCTTTGCAGAATAAATGAATTCTTTAACTTAACTGTTTCAAAATTTTCAATGTCATATGCCTAACAATTCGAAAAAAAAAATAATGTCAAAAAATGTTCACTAGGTTTCAAAAGTCATAACTTTTTCCTCATCTTAATAATTTTCAATTTTATAATTGTAATTATATGTTACATTCTGTTTCTAAGGGTTTTCTACGGATATATGAATATTTGATTTGTTCTGAAATGAAAAAAAAAAATATAAATGAAATCGTGTTATAGGGGGTGGGGAGAGGGAGGTAAAAAATCAGTGATCTGGATTTGTGATGTATTTAGGGATTTAACTGCTTCTGTAAATAACCCACTTAGAGTGTCCCTGATGTTATGTCAACTCTAGTTGAACAAACGGCTTCTCTGATTAATAGAACTCAATAATACGAAGAGCGATTTGATCATGATTGTATTTTGAAATTGATTTTTCTATCTTTTGATCTAAAAAAAATTAAATACAAAATTAATTATCATAAATTATAATTTGTTTGTTCGTTTTATGGATCTAATTAATTATGATTTTTTTTTTGATAACTCTGCATGTATTACTAAAATACTTGTATAAATATAAAATGAACAGTTTATATATATTCTTATGATATAAATAATTAATTAATATGGATGAATACTATAAACATTACCCAGACATTTTGAATTCGTATTAAATAATTTCTTCCTGTTTTAATTGTTCCTAAAATATTAACTTATTCGATAAAGTTATTTTCCTTTTGAGCTGTTATTTATAATTTATATTTAAATAAGGATAAAACATGATCTTATTAATATAGTGATGTTTGAACGGAATCTGGATATATTCTCA